TCATAGGGAGACCCACCTGAGGCCCAAGCGGCGGTGTCCACATGCGCATCCCCCACCCAGCACAGCGTTCCGTTGCCCCGTGGCGAGCTCCAACTAAGGCCCCAGTGGCGGTGTCCACATGCGTCTCCCACCCACCCAGCACAGCGCTGCGTGGCCCCGTAGGGACCTCCACTTAAGGCCCCAGTAGCGGTGTCCCCATGCGTCCCATCCAGCCAGCACAGCCTTTAGTGGCCCCATAGGGAGCTCCACCGAAGGCCCCCGTGGCGGTGTCCACATGCGCCCCCACCACCCGCACGGCGTTATGTTGCCACATAGGAAGGTCCACCTGGGGTCCCAGTGGCGGTGTTTACATGCGCCTCCCCCACGCGGCACAACTTTTCGTGGCCCCGTAGGGAACTCCACCGAAGGCCCCCGTGGCGGTGTCCGCATGCGCCCCCCCCCACCCGGAACGGCGCTTCGTGGCTCCATGGGGAGCTACACTGAGGGCCCCAGTAGCAAAGTCCACATGCGTTTCCCCACCCAGTACAGCGTCTCGAGGCCCATAAGTGGCTCCACCGAAAGCCCCAGTGGAACCGTTCACATGCGTCCCCTCTCACCCAACACAGCGCTTTGTGGCCTCATAGGGAGCTCCACAAAGGCCTCAGTGACGGTGTCCACATGCGCCCCCCCCCAGCCAGCACAGCCGTTCGTGGCACATAGGGAGCTCCACCGAAGGCCTGCGTGGCAAAGTTCGCATGCGTCTCCCCCGCCCAGTGCAGCGCTTCGTGGCCCATAGGGGGCTCCATCGAAGACGATACCCACAACTATGGTATTCACAACTGCTTATGGTTGGGTCCTTCGCCAGGCGAATTTCCACTAGAATCCCTGGGCTCGCGCCCTGCTGTCCCCAACAACCCTGTGGTCCTGGGCCCTCGTTTTGAAGAGACAGCGCCCAACGTCTCCTCCTCTCCTCCTCATACCACTCCTTCCTTCCCCCTGTCCTCCCATCCTTGCCTGTGCCCCCCGTACCTAATACAACGTTTCGTGGCCTCACAGGGGAGTTCCACCTACGGCCCCAGTGGCGGTGTCCACATGCGCCCCCCCACTCAATACAGTGCTGCGTGGCCCCATGGGGAGCTCCACCTGAAGCCCCAGCGGCGGTGTCCACATGCGTATACCCCACCCAACATGGCGTCTCGTGGCCTCATGGGGAACCCGACCTAAGACCTCACCGGCGGTGTCCACATGCGTCTCCCCCATCCAACACAGCGCCTCGTGTCCCCGTAGGGACCTCCACCGGAAGCCCCACCCGCGGTGTCCTTACGCGCATCCCCCCATCCAGCACGGCGCTTCGTGGCCCCATGGGGCTCCGCCTACGGCCCCAGAGGCGATGTCCCCATGCATCCCACCCAGCCAACACAGCCTTTCGTGGCCCCGCAGGGAGCTCCACCTACGGCCCCACATAGGGAGCTCCACCTAAGGCCCCAGAGGCGGTGTCCACATGCGCCCCCCCACCCCATAGGCCCATACCCCACCCCACCCAGCACAGCGCTGCGTGGCCACATGGGGAGCTCCACCCAAGCGCCCAGTGGCGGTGTCCACAACCCAGCACAGCGCTTCGTGGCCCCATGGGGAGCTCCACCAAAGGCCCCAGTGACGGTGTCCACATCGTCCCCCTCGCCCAGCACGGCGCTTCGCGGCCTGATGGGGAGCTCCGCCTAAAGGCCCCACTGGCGGTGCCCACATGCGCCCCCCTCAACGATTCGTGGCCCCACAAGGAGCTCCACCGACGGCAAGACTCAGGGATGCGGTAACCACAATTTAATACGGTCGGGTCCTTCGCCAAGCTAATTTACAAGGGAAAGGAAAGGATGACCAAACTTCGCTGTTGGCCCCCGAACTACAACAACAAAGATTCCCGCCTAACGTTTCCGCACAATTGATTCGCAAATCGCATTCTCGCGCGAGGCCCCTTCAATTTATACAGGAATCGCGCTCTCGCGTTGGATTCCCCTGCAATGTATTCAGACGCCGCGCCCTCGACACTCAGGACTTACTGGGGATCGCGCTATCGCTCAAGACTTCCTCGCCATTCATGCAGGACGCACTGCCTTGCCGAACCGCCCGTTAAGGTCTACCCGCCCGATCTGCCAGTCTGGCTCTGCCACGTGTTTTCTGTTCTTAGCCTTCCTTCTGCTACTCTCTCTCTCTCTCTCTCTCTCTTGTGCTCCATCATCCTCCGTTCCCCTTGTCTGTTCCCTGTACTATGCGGCTGCGCGGCATACGCGCTGCAGGTATGAAAGATGTCCCTAGAGGGGGCTACTAGTACTATCAAAGACACAGAGGGCGGGCATCGAGGGTCTGCGACTTACGTGTTGAATGGCCGCGTGCAGATCAGAGTGGACAGTCTGAAAATGATTGTTGGTGCTGCTGGTGGTGTTGGTGCCGTTGCTGGTGGTGGTGTCTGTTGTGGTTGTTGTTGTTGGAGGTGGTGTTGTTCCTGAACTCTCATTTCTAAAGAATAAATATTGCTGACCCACCCCCCCTCAGGGGCACATTGTTTTTCAATGAACGTCCTCCTTCAGGGGCCCGCATCCTTCTTTTGCTACAAGGGGAAGCGAGGGGCCACCAAACTGGGCCGTTGGCCCCCGAACCACAACAACAACAACAACAACAACAACAACAGCAGCAGCAGCAACAACAACAACAACAACACCAACAACGGTTCCGCCTGATACTTCCTCACAATGAATTCCCAACTCGCGCTCTCGCGCGGGACGTCCTCGGAAGTTATACAGGAATCGCGGACTCGCGTGGGACTTCCTTGCCATGTATTCAGACGCCGCGCCCGCGACATTTAGGAATCATGCTCTCGCTGTCACCATCCGCACGACTTATTCGGGAATCGCGCTATCGCTGGAGACTTCCCCGCGATTCATGCAGGACGCGCGCTACAGCCGCCCGCCTGCTCGACCTGGCCGCGTGGGCCCGCCGTCCCGACCGGCCTGTTAGGGCTGTATCCGCCCGATCTGCCCGTCTGGCTCAGCTGTGCTTTCTGCTCCTAGCCCCCCTCCTGCTACTCTGTCTCGCGTGCTCCATCCTTCTCCCTCCCCCCTTGTCCCTCCCTTCCATCCGTCCTCTCATCACCTGCTTTAGGGGCTGCACGGAGTACACGCTGCAGGTACAACATATAGAGTAAACCCCAAAGAAGCACGATCGAAAACGAAAAGGGCGGGTATCGAGGGTTTGGGATATACGTGTTGAATGTCCTGCGAGCAAGTTTGAGCGATCAGTCTTAAAATTATTGTTGTTGATGCTGCTGATGATGCTGGTGTGTCTGTTGCTGATTAACTTTAACTTCTGAAGAAAGTTAGTGTTGATCACCCTTCCAGTAACCATTGCATTGTTCCATTTGAAGTGCCCTTCCAAGGACTCGCACCCTGCTTTTCTTATCAAAGAAAATGTTGAGGGCCAAACTGGGCCCCTGGCCCCCGATTTACAACAACAGCGGCTCCCGCCGGATAATCCTCACAATGTATTGGGAAACTAGACTTTCGCGTGAGATTTCCTTGCAATCTATTCAGTAATCGCGCTCTCGCTTGAGACTTCCTCACAATATATTCCGATGCCGCTCCTCGACACAGGCGTCGGGCCCCCGAACCACAACAACAACAACGGCTCCCGCCTGATACTTCCCCACAGTGAATTCTCGCGCGGGACGTCCTCGGAAGTTATACAGGAATCGCGCACTCGCGTGGGACCCCCTTGTCATCAATTCAGACGCCGCGCCCTCGACACTCAAGAATTGAATCACGCTCTCGCTGTGGATTCCTCACGATGTATTGCGCTATCGCTCGAGACTTCCTCGCGATTCGTGCAGTAATCACGCTTGAAAGCCCCCTGCTCGACCTGGCCGCTTGGGCCCGCCTCCCCGACCCGCCCGTAAGGGTCTACCCGCCCGTCTGGGTCTGGCACGTGTTTTCTGCTCCTCGCCCCCCTCCTGCGAATCCTGCGCTCCATCCTCCTCCCTCACCCTTGCCCCTTCCGTCCATCCGTCCTTTCTTCCCCTGCCTTAGAGGCTGCACGAAATACGCGTTGCAGGTAAGAAAGATATATACCCCATACCCCCAAGGATGTACGATCGAAGACGACGAAAGCGGGTATCGAGGGTTTGGGATAGACGTGTTGACTGGCACGCGAGCAGATAAGAGCGAACAGTCTTCAACTGATTGTTGTTGTTATTGTTGTTTTTGTTGTTGCTGCTGCTGTTGTTGTTGGTGCTGACCCGGCCCGCGACCCACCCACGACCCGCCCGCGACCAACCCGTGACCAACCCCGCAACCCCCCCGCGGCCCACCCGCGACCCATCCCGCGACCGCCCGCGACCCGGCCTGCGACACACCAGCGACCCGCCTGCGACCCACCCGCGACCCACCTGCGACCCGCCCGCGACCCGCCCCGTGTCCCACCCGCAACCCACCCCGCGACCCACTTACATTGCTGCAGCGAAAAAATCGGGCCTGCGGCGGGGCCGTTGTATACTCTGTAAACACTAGGCGCCTGCGGGCCTCGCAGACTGCAGACGTCCCCACCGCCCCTTCACTCTTATCCGCAACTCCTGGGTGCCAGTCAACCAGTATAGCAAGGATGCGCGATAAGGATGCAAGGGCCTTGGAAGCCCATTTCGAAGTTTTCGAGCGGGGCGCGGCCAACGAACGTCGCCAAGGATGCACCGAGGAGGCAAGGATGCAAGGGTACCCTTGGAAAGGATGCCCGTCCTTACTATGCGGGTTGACTGTGCTACGCATGGCAGGTTGACTGTGCTACGCATGGCAATTGCCATGGTCGTGGCAACGTGTTACTGCCCCAGCGCGTTCAGGAACATCCGGGTGCTCCTCACGTGGAGGGCCCCGGAAATCGCCCACTGGTGACGACTCACCAGCTGTGAGCGCTCCTCGTCCCAATCCTCCCCTTCCCTCCTCCTCCTCCTCCTCCTCCTCCTCTTCCTCCTCCTCCTCCGCCTCTTGTTCCTCCTCCTCCGCCGGGTCCGGATCGGGATCCTCGGCAGTGAGCACGTCTACTGTCTCAGCGCCGTCGAACCAATAGGACAGGATCCACTCCTCGATGTTGCCCCGCCTACGAACGAATCCGAGGAAACCGAATTCCACGTCCTCATCGTCATCTTCGTCATCCTCGTCATCCTATTCCTCCTCGTCCTCCTTTTCCTCCTCCTCCTCATCATCATCCTCCTCTTCCTCGTCCTCGTCCTTCTCCTCGTCATCCTCGTCACCTTCCTGATGAGCATGCATGTCCCCTGCGGGCAACCATTCTCCTGTAACAGATCCCCACTTGAAGTCTGGAAATACGTGCTGAATTTACGCTTCAGGAATCCAGTCAGAAAAACACAAATAAACTTGAATGTATGTGTAAGTGCAGTTCAATTGCACTGCGAATCCCTTTTTTGTTTGACGGTGGAACCACGACCATGCCTGGAGGCCGAGTTGATCAGGAGCTGTGCAGGTCCTAGAAAACAAGCACACGCACGCACACGAAGCCGCACCTAGACGGCGCATTGGCACAGCCAAAAAACGAACTCACATATGCGGGGAAACTGACAAACAAACGCATGCGGCATGCAGGGCAAGAAGGTGTGCAATCACCAAAAAGTGTTGGTGATCCGCTGCTCGAAACACGGCATGCAACGCGAGGGAGGGGGGAGGGGAGGAGGAGAACGGGGAGGGGAGGAGGACGACGACGAGGACACGATAATCTGTCACACTGTCATACTATTGTACACACGGTCGCTATACTGCCTCATTCCGCTGTGCTCTACTTGCCAGTCGTGCTTGCAGTGCATCAAAACTGCCACCTGCCACCACGAGAACCTCTGCGTGCATGGAATTGCACACGAGGGCGCCCTCGGGAACGCGGCGCCACCCATTTCCGAGGTAGGACGCCAGAGCTTTCACAACATTCGAACACCATGGCTCTCGGTAAGCTTCTGGGGCCGCCCCAGGCAACTGTGCCATACAGTTTAAGCTGCCGTTTCAAGTAAGGATGTTGATCAAGGCCGTACCTACGCGAGCTCGGACTTTTGCATTGGTCACGCGTGACACAAAAGAGGTCGGATTTTGAATACTGATCGTAAGCACTTCGCCTGGCAGCCATCGGCCCTGCTTCTGTCTGCTTGTGAAGGAATACCAGGCTTCAACCCATATACAAGTTTCGAAAAGACGAATGTTTCCAGAACCCTCGTATTGCACGTTCTACTGAGATTGGCATTGCTCCAAACTCTGGACAACCTCTGGACAATCCCTGTTGATCCCCCGAGGCACCGTGTAAATCCGCCCGCGGCCTCCCATCGGTACTGATCGGTCCTCCCAGACAAACAACATGATCCTTACATTTGATATCTTCGCCGTCTGGTCCGTAAATTGCCCGTTCCGCCCGCGTCTTGAATAATACCCTCTTCCCCCGCGTTTACTTCCAAGCCGCGCCTCTTCCCCGCAGCTACGGCCGCGTCCAAATGTGCTTGAAGTGCGTCTGGCTCCCGGGCTACGAGCACTGTGTCGTCAGCTTGCAGGGCATCTCTGGTAAAAAGATAGTGGCGTGTCGGCCTGCGTGGTAATATCGAAACCAAACTTTCGTCGACGTGTTGCAACATTACGGACATTACGATAATGAAACAGTAGGGTGAGAACGGGCAGCCTTGCGCAATGCCAGCTGCCTGTGTGGTTTGCGACGTCGTCGTGCCCCCGTCTTGCACTATAAACTTCCGTGTCTTGTAAATGCCGTTGATCATGTCGACCATCGCCGGCGGGATGCGGAATTCACGCAGAGCATGAACGAGAGCTTTTGGGTGGATCCGGTCAAAGGTTTTGCTCCAGTCCAGCAGTAGATGGAACAGGTTGCCCTCTTTGTCTTCGAGCGTTGCGTCGATCAGCCTGCGAGCCAAGAACAAGGCCTCACTGGGGCCGCGTCTGGGTCTGAAGCCGCGTTGGGATTCGCGCACTGTTGTTTCACATCCTCCTTGTTCGAGCCTGTGTAACAATATGCAGACGAATACCTTGTGTCCAACTGTAAGTAGAGAGATAGGCCGATAGTTCGAAGGCAAGGAAGTGTCACCATGTTCGAAGATGGTGACAACAGACGATTATTGCAATTCTTGCGGGATGTCCTTCTTCTCCCAGCATGCGCTGCACAACGCCGTCAATATGTCCAAGGCAGCGTCGTCACCCCATAGTGCTCGCCATAATTCTGGTGGCACTCCATCCGTTCCCGCCGCTCGCTGAACGCGTACATGTTTAACTGCCCGTTTTACTTCTTCAGCCGTGGTGGGACCAAGCTCTATGGGTAGATGCCCCCCTCCGGCCCTGACGTATGCAACATGAAACCCGTCAGGGGGCTGTCGCCACTGAGCTTGCGAAGAAATAATCTGCCATAGCGTCAGCCCGTTCAAAAAAGTCTACTAGACGACCATCTGCGTAACGGAGTCGTCCGCATTTGTACGAACGTCCTTTCCGTAAAGATTTGATCATGTCCCACCCGTTGTTCGCGATGCCCCAGGTGAGCCATCGGTTTTTGTCCACCTTGGCCGATTGCCGGATCATTATGTTCAGGAAACTCCTCGAATTCCGTAGGACGTAAAAGGTCCAGGGTGGAACAAATGCGGTATAACGAAGAACAGGCATTGAGTGCCTTAAAAGGAAGCCGCAATCCGTATTCAACATTCGGCTCTCGAATGCGCGCCGCACACATCCGTCTCCAAATCTACAGAATTATCAAGCATCCATTTTGATATTTTCCGACACTCTTTGGCCTTTCAGGCAAGTGACATTTTCCCCCCTGCAATCCCTCCCCCTGGTGCCCCAAACCGGGAATTCGATACCCCCCCGCCGCGGGGCCCGGGTTACCTTGGGCCGAACGCATCGCGGGGGGACAGCGGGCCCCGAACTGGGTCGGGAGAACCCCGAGACGTTCCCCAGACGGCCCACCAGGGCCCCGAATCGCCAAAGGATCTTTCGAGGGGGGCACGGCTGGGGCCTTCCGCCTCCTCCTCCTCTCCCTCTCCCCCCCCCCTCTCGCGCTGGACCTCCTCGGGGCCCACGGAAGTGGCGACGGCTGATCACTTGGCAGGCCCCCCACGGAGCCGCGAGGTCTCGACTGGGCGCGCGCGTCCAAAACTGCCACGCTTGGCCGACAATTGCGCAGATGTCTTTGAAGGGAGAAAACGGGAGCGGACAGCATGGAAAGAAGATGAGAGCGCAGGATCCGTCGACACCGAATCGGGGAATCGACTCCGCCGACGCATTGTGGGTCTCTGGGCGCGTGAGATTCTTTCCCCCAGAAAATCCCCCCCAGGGCCTCGAAACGGGGAATGCCCCCCACCCCCACCCCCGCCCCAGTCTGGCCCGACCCGGGCAGAACGTATCATGGGGGGCGTGGCGGGCCCAAATCTGGGTCAAGAGAGCCCCAAGACGCCCCCCAGACGGTTTACCCAAAAATCGCTCCAAAACGCAACAGATGGCCCCAAGACGGCTCGAAACTCCCCATTGCGCCCCAATTGGCTTCCAAAGGGCCCCCCAGAAGGGCCCCAGCCCACAAGAGGGCTCAACGACGGCCGAAGAGGGCCCAGAAACGGCCCAGGAGGTCCCCATAACGGCTTCATACGGCCCCGGAACGGCCCGAAAACAAACGCCCAGAGGGGGAACCCTAACTGACATTTTGGGCATTCGGCTGGAAAACGCGCGGATGCCCGAAGAACCCCCTTAAGCCCCCAGAGGGGCCAAGAGATTCCACATAGGCCTCCAAGAGACCCCCCGCGAGACCCCATGCATTATCCGGCTGGCCGTTCACCCGCAACCCAAGCACGGTAGCAAATGGGGTGGCAACCGTGAAAGCTCGACCCATGTCTATTCCTCCCCCTCCCTCTCCCACGCCCTCTTGGGTTTCAGCATTATCCTTGTCAACCCTCGTCCTGCCTCTCGTTCTCTTCATGTTCTGGTCTTCCTTCCGCGGAACTCGGCATTTGCACCGCCACTTCCGAAACGATCTCCAGACTGGCCAGTCGGGCGAGCATCGTTGGCACGACTTGCGCTTGAGGGTGTTTCTACGTCCCCTCTAAGTGTCCCGCGTCCTAGAAGAATCCCCCGCGCGCCGCGCACGTCAATTCGCAGTCCGACCGATTCGCCGCACCGGCTACTCCCTTGGTACCTACGCCCCGTTTGTCACAATCCCCCACACACACCACTATGCTGTTTCGCTTCCGCCGATGTTATTCCACCTGTTCGGGTTTAAATGCCTCGTGCCCTAGAAAGTTGCCCGCCTGCCTGGCGCACAACGGGTCAGCGGCTTTGTCACCGCCCCCGATTTTCGCTTGCGAGCGTTACCCCCGCGCGTGGACGAGTCCCGCTCTGCGCAATTCCGACAGAGCCTTACTCCGTCTGTGTTGAATTATTTCTGCGCTGCCGACATAATCACCCGTCTGTTCAGACAGCGCGACACACTTCTCACTCGAACACGGACTGTGGCAATTCTCTCGTTGCACTTCGCGTTGCCACTGCGCGACATCTGTTTCGCTTTGACGTAGCTGCACATCGTGCAATATAGGTGCGGGTCCTTTTCGGCCCCCCATCGTCGCCCTCTGCCTCTCCGCCCCGATCGCCATCGTGCCGCGTCGGTTCGTCACCCTCCGCTATGGTTGCCCGCGCTTTGCACGCCTTGTACCCTGTCGCGCCCATCTTTTCATTTCCGCAGCGCTCTCGGCGAAACGCCAGCCTGTCTTTCCTCTGGAACTTATGCTGTGCGAACGCCTCAACCAAGAACCCCCGCTGGCACCGCTCGCGCCAAGCGCGGTCTGGGTGCCCACCGCAGGCGGGCGCGCACGTCGCGCCGCGCGCCGCGGCGCGCGCGCCCGCCGCGCCCGCGCAGGCGATTCGCCCAGGCGCGGCGCAGGGAGGGCGCGCGCGCGCCTGCCGCGGGGGCGCAGGCGCAGGCGCCACGTCGCCAGCACACGGCGCGGGCGGCGGCGGGCGCCGCATCTATTTCCCCTCGTGGCCTGCCCCTGACCTTTGTCTCCTGCGGCGAGCGGCCTCCGTGCTGCGCCGTCGCCCGTGGGCCGGCGCCCCTCGCGCCCTCGCGCCGCCAGTCAGCCGCGCGCGGCGGTGGGGCAGTGCGCGCACGGCCCCCGCGCAGGCCAACGGTCCGCGGCGCGCCGCCCCCGCGCGCGCGCGGTCGGCGCGGCGCCGCGCCCCGTGTCGGGCGTAGTCTCGTCGCGCCGACCTTCAAGGCCATCGGGGCCGCGCCTTGCGCGCGCCCGCCATTTCACCTTCGTGGCGGGGCTTCCTGTCCGAGGGCCGGGAACGAAATATATTCTCTCGCCGTCGCACTCGCGCAATGGCCGCGTAGCTGGACATCCAACTGATGCCGCGCTTTCTCTCACGGTGCGCTATCGCTGCGTCCGCAGTCCGCGCGAAGACAAAGCGCCTCGCGGGAACTCGCCCGCGGCACGGGGGCGCGGCAGTCGCCAGGAAACAAGACGCGCAGAATGCGACCGACGTACCCAGTACGCTGATAGACTACACTGGCCCCTCGCGGGTCTCCAGGCGCGCGAGATCCACCCCCCCATCAGTCCCCCCGGGCCCCCGCACTGAAGATCAGACCTCCCCCGAACCGGCCCCGAACGCAGCCGAAAGAGCTCCAAAATGGCCCAAGAAGCGCCCAAGACGGCCTCAGCAAGGCCCACGACGACCCCAAGAGGGCCCCAAGACCAATGCGAACCTTCCGCCACCAGATGCGGCCAGGAGGTCTCGAGGCGCCCCCGAAAGGCTCCAAGAAGCGGCCGAACGGCCCCCAAAACGCGCCAAGAGTCTTCGACATTGCTTCCAAGAGGCCCCCGGGAAACCGCATAAATTCGCCGGCCCAACGGGCCAAAGGCGTGCTAAGATCTCCGGTAACTTGTTAACAATATTTCTAGTTCGCGCGCGCGGAGCGGCCCCTGGGGACCCCCGGACGAAAAGTACCCCGGCAAGGTCCCGAGAGAAGCCCGGGAGAAGCCACCAGACCACTCCAGGGGAGGGTATTTTTCGACACCCCTCACGAGGATCGTGGCCTCCGAGGGGGGAGCCGCAATCGACTACCCCCAAGAGCCCCCCAAGAGGCCCTGGGGGCCTCCAAAACGCCGCCAAGGAGCCCCAAGAGACTCCCAAGAGGTCCCCAAGAGGCCCCCAAGAGGCCCTAAAGAGGGCTCCAGGGCCGGCGGCATGAGCGAAGCGATTAATAATTCCTGAAGAAGTAACCAAGATCTCTGAATCGCAAATCATCCATAACTTCCGAATGCGAACAAGAATCTCCGCGCACGTCCGACAACCTCCAAAAACTTCAAACTCTCTCCGCACACTTCCGAATGCCTCCGAAAGCCTCGGGCCCACAGAGTCCGCAACGAGTAGTACGAATAGTTGTTCAGCCCCAGCGCTGATAGCAGACCGAGTTCACGCGTCTAGACACTATAAACTAGCGCGCCTGTTCATTTCATTCCGATTGCTGTGCCGAACAGCTCTGTAGCTCATCTCGAGCTCGAGTTAAGTCAAGAAAACCATCACCATCTCCAAAAAAAACACAGAGTACGAATAGTGTTTCGGCTCCAGCGCTGATAGCAGACCGAGTCCAGGCGTCTAGATATGTTAGAATATCGCCTGATGGTTTTCTTTCGATTGCTGTGCCAAAGAGCTTTGTAGCTCATCGGCAGTTCGAGTTAAGTCAAGATCATCATCATCATCATCAGCAGCAGCATCATCATCATCATCATCATCATCATCATCATCATCATCATCATCATCATCATCATCATCATCATCATCATCATCATCATCATCATCATCATCATCATCATCATCATCATCATCATCATCATCATCATTATCATCATTATCATCATCATCTCGAAAACAATTCGTATCGCAATTCGCAGTCTGCTCCCCTCCTGATCGCTCATCCTCCTACTCCGCCTTTCCCAAAAGAAACCCTAGCGCATCAGACCTGCCTCCGTAGGACTCTCCAAAGTTCTCAAGGGCCGCGAAGAACACACCCACGGCTGGACCTATCGGGTCGACGGATGTAGCGCTATCATGTAGAAATTGGTTCTTGCTGCGGCGCCACACACATGATGCGTCGTGGACGTTTCCCAACATCCGTTTGTTGCCTGAATGCCGCGCGTGGATGGTGGCCCCTATGGAACGTATCCCCTGTGGAAACGTGTGGCCATAGCCAGGCTATTCTTCAAGATGTACGGCATCGCGCTAAATCATTCCAGCGGGTACACACAATGCCCACCCAGCTTCAGAAAGCCATTCTTGTATGAGACTCTCTGGCGGCTCAAGGTAACACTTGCTGAACATTCCGAGCTTTGCCCCACGTTCCGCGAGGATGCTCACGTTCCAAAAGATCGCTGGAAAGCTTGACGGAGCGGAACAGCTCAACTACGGTGCGATGTCCCGGCGTTCCTACTGCTTCGGAGGCCCCCGCCCCGAGGGGTGGCCTTGTAGCCGACGGACGCGCAAAGAGGTCTCGCAGTCGGAGACAGGACGGTCAAACCACAGATCTGGCCAAAGTCAGACGTCACAAAACAATGCATAGCGCATTTGAAACCACACTGCCCCACACATTTGCTGCGAGGGTGAAGGCCTGATTGGCCGTGCACTCTGTCCAAATTCGAAAACATAGTGAATGGGCTCGGCGGCATAGCATAAACTTCCGAGTGTATACACAATCGCTTCTGGGGAATCCTGTAATCGCGCGAATGTTCGATCCATACGGCTACATGGATACAGAGCGCTTCCGCTTATTTAAAGAAAAAACGAACATATGCAAAAATACTGCTCTTGGTTGTATGACCATGGAGCCTGAAAGCCCCAGCAACTGCTTGGATGGAGGGCGGTTGAATTTCAAACTCGCACGCTCGCTCCTGCACGGCGCACATAGATCTTGACGCTTCATGCAGGTACACGGATGCGGGCGGGTGCATCTCAAACCCAATGGCCTACATGCGAGAACAGTAACATGCGGGTCACCTTTCCAGACCGCATTGGGCTCTTACCATACAGGCCTGAAGGACTCTCACCTTTCCTGCTGTTCCTCGCCGTAGTTGGCGAAAACAAGGATACCCTTGCGGCAGAAGACCCTGAACAGCATTACACTCGTCATGATCGGGGGCCACGATGGGGGGCACGATGGCCCACTGATTTCGTGGGCCCAGCATCCCCCACTGTGCGTTGAAATACCTCATGTAGCCTGCAATCAAGCTGTTTACGGAATCACGTGTCTTGACTCATGCAGGGAACTTCGGACGGGAGGGCGTGCTGCGGCATCAGTGGTGCGTTCTGGGCCATCTCTCCACCCACGGGGAACGACAGGGGGACCAGCTCAGGAAGGGAAATAACGGCCAGAAACGGCCGCCGATAGGACGGCGATAGGCCCACGATTGCGAAGCCGCACGTTCCTGGGCGATGAACGTGTGATTGGGGGTCGACTCATCCCCCCTGAGCGTATCCTTCAGTCGGGCGTGTCCCCCTACAGGGGGATTTTCTACTAAAAAAAGTACCCCAAAAATACTCCCAAATGATATTTTTAAAAAAAAAAAAAAAAAAAAAAAAAAGTCCCCCGACAATTTTTGGGACTATTTTCGAATATTCCTCCTGCAGAGGGACAAGCCCGACTTGAGCGGATCCCCCCCCCTGTCGTTGGTCTTTCGGGTCATGCCTCGGATCCCTGGCGGCCGCTCGGGCGAGCCGGCCCGCAACCCGAACGCCTTCCGGCGAGGCGCGGCGGCTGGAACGGACTCCCGCGGCAGGGACGCCCCGCGGGAGGCGACGGAGACGCCCGAGGGCCGCAGACCTCGCCCGCCTCCCCCCGGAGCACCGCCCCCCCGCCCACGCTGCCCCCGATCGGCAGATTTGAAGGGGCCCCAGGACACACACAAACAAATACACACAAATAGAAGTATCCCCCATAGTTTCCCATCTTTTCTGGGTTTCTGTCTCCCCCCAACTTCCCATATTTTCCCATACTTGCCTGGGAATCGAGGATTCATTGTGCCTGTGTGTTTTTTCCCCTCCTGAAGACTCTCTGCACACCCTCCCCCTCATCTCGGAGGCGACGACAGGGGCGAACAGTCCCCGGGGGGAGCAGCGTGCGTGCATCCAGGGGCGCCGATGATCCGGGTCTTCGGCGAGGCTCCCAGGCGAGCCCGTGTAATGCCCGTCCCTGGGCTGTTCGCCCCCATCGCCGCCGCCGGTCATCGGCGGTATGCCCTCGCCCAGCCCGGGCCCGGCGTCGCGGGCCTGATCTCGCGGACGTCGCTGCAGCTCCTGTCGTCGGGCCTGGGAGAGGAGAGAGAGAGAGAGCAGAGGGGCCCCCTGGGGCGGTGGGGGGCGGGGGAGAGCGGAGGGGCTGCGACGGCAGGGAAAAGCGCCAGTGTGGGCGGGGCGGAGAAATCCTGGCATCCTGAGGAGGAGGAGGAGGAGGAGGAGGAGGAGGAGGAAACTGCGGGATGCTTTCTGACAGCGTTCGGCCTCTGGGGACCCTCACCGGGCCCCGAGGCCGCCACCAAAACAGTTGGGAGGGAAAGACATGTCCCGGGGAAGGGGTCCAAATCTTCGGGGCTCCTCGTCGCGAAAAGATCACGGCTGCGGATGTCTGGGAATGGGGAGGGGAGGGGAGAAGGGTGGGAGGGGGGAAGGGAGGGCAAGGAGTGGAAAGGGGGAAAGGGGGGAAAGCTGACCGGGAGGGGAAAGGGAAGGGGGTGGAAGAAGAGCGGGGGGAAGGGGAGGTGGAGTTCAGGTCCGACGCGTGCTGGGTCGTCGCGCTGACGACCAGCGGCCAGAGGGCGCAAACGGCGGTGCTCACGAGGGACGAAACGCACGCGAGAGAAGAAAGAAGCGCGCACGGAACAAACGTGCACGAAAGCGACATGATGCAAGAGCATGTGCGGTTTAGTGAGTTCCACTTGCTAGGTGGCCGAGAAGACGTGTTTGAGGACTGGCAGGCGCGAGCGCGTCCCTTTCTCTGACGCCCCTTTGTACGATAGCGTTCCAGAAAACCCCTGAATGCGACGTAACGCGTACACGTGGGGAGAACGACAGGAGGACAGGGGATGGGCTGGCTCAGGAGAGGAAACGTTGACTTCGAATCGGCGGCACATGGCCGATAGAAGATCGACGGTAGGCACTCAGCCGCAGAACCGCGCGTCCCCAGGCGGGGTGGGCTGCCAGGCCCCAGTCGGCGATGACTGGGCGCTCGAGGGTGGATGCAGTCCCCCCTGAACCTACCACACCCTGTCGTTGCCCCTCAGCAAACTGCCCTTCCCCCCTCCCACACTAAAACGACGCGAAGATCGGGACAAAATCGGATCGGGATAACTCGAAATCTCTGAGAATCCGCGGGTTTGGAGGATGGATTGGGCGCCGCGGCCGCTCCAGAGCGTTCCGGAACGCTCTGAGAGCGCTCCGGAACGCTCTGGAGCGATTTTTCCCCATCCTAGCCCTGTTTTACCCACACCTCCCACCACATCCCCGCCACACATGGCAGGCCTTCCCAGAAGAGCCGGAGCGTCCGCTCCACAGGCAGTCCTCCCCCTTCCTCCGGCCCCCTGCGCGCTTGCTCGGTCCTAGGGAGGGGGCTCGGAGGTTGTTTCTTTTTTGATGTTCACGGTCGTTACCCGGAGATTGTGCTGCCAGGTACGGTAACGACTCGGCGGGGTGGCGCACGTCGGGGCGGGTGTGTGCTCTTCGATCGCCATGGCCTGCGCGCAAGCACCAGCATGGGGGGGGGGGGGCCCAGGCCGCCAGCCCACCCCCTACGCACGATCGTTACCGTTGCCCACGGGAGGGGGTGGGGGAAGGGCGAGACCTGGGTAATAACCGATACGCGCCAGAGGACAGAACATGAACCTCGAGCCGCGCTGGGGGGCTTGGAACACCGCGGCGGCCCGGTGTACCACGAGCACAGGTCTAGGTGCTTCAGGTATCTGAGCTCCTGTGGGAGGCCTCACAAATGGGGCCCGAGTCGATGGGGTCGGAGGATCGCGCAGCGTCGACGATACATCGGCGACGCATCGACGATGCATCGACGATGCATCGGCGATGCATCGTCGACGTCGGCGATGCATTGGCGACGTCGACGTGGAAAAAATCGGGCTCCACATCGAGCCGCAACGCCAATGCATCCACGGTGCAGCGCCATCCTCCGACCCATCTGCTTCGACCTCATTCAGGAGGCCTGAGTCCTTGGTGTCCTGGAAGCCCGCCTCGGGGCTGTCCGCCTCGCCGCCCTCGTCCGCCCAGCAGCGGATGAGGTTCTCGACCGAGCGCGAGCTGGCCATGCCGCCCCGCCGCACGCCCCTCGACCTGAGTGGGGACCGCGAGGTCCACCGCCTAATGCTGGAGGCTGAAAAATTGGCATCAACACCAGCACAGTGACTTGCATCTAGTTGTGCGATTACCGATCCCAAACAAAAAAGTAGTAGGCAGCGTGGACCCCGAACAGCGCATGTGTCTGACTATACATGTGGTGGAGTCTACGTGGAGCCATGTACGTGGTGCAACCCGTGGTGCAATCTATAGGGTGCAGTATCTGAGGTGCAATGTAATCACGTGGTGCAATACATGGTGTTGGACATATGTTGTGCATTATGTTGTGCAGTGTATGCGGTGTCATGAATGATGTGCAATACATGTGGTGCAAACTATGTCGTGTAATCTATGTGGCGCAATATAGGTGGTGGCACCTATGTGGCGCAATCTCGAAATACATAGGTATATGTGTATATTCGTGCACATGTATGCACGTATACACACACATTTATATATATATATATATATATATATGAATGTATATGTGTGTGGAGGCATGCTGCGCAACCTGTATGTATATATATATATATATATATATATATATATATATAATATATATATATATATATATTCGCCGGCCCATCGGGCCAGAGGCGTGCTAAGATCTCCGGTAACTGCTAAATAAAACTTCTAATTCGCGCGCGCGGGGCGGCCCCTGGGGGTCCCCGGACGAAAAGTACCCCGGGCGATCCCCGGCAGACTCGGGTCAGAGACGGTTTTCCTCCTGGGCGCCGCCCCCGTGGCCCTCCAGAGAGCCCCAAGAAGGGCCACGACGCCGCCAAGAGCCCTCCAAGATGGTTCAAGAGTGCTCCGAGATGCCACACGATCGTTCCAGGACGCCCAAGATGGCCCCCAGACGCCCCAAGAGGCCTCCAAGAGCACCCCCCAGAGGGTTTTGGGCAGATTTTGGCGTGTCCATCTTTTCGGCTTCCCGACGCCCCAAAAGACGGCCCAAGAGGCCCCCAAGATCGCCCCAAGAGGGCCCAAGAAGCTCCCAAGAAGGCCCCAAGATGGCCCAAGAGGGCTCCAAGGCGGCCCCAGAGGCATCCAAGACGGCCCAAGAGGGCCCCAAGCGATGCCCCAAAGGGGGAACACAAAACAAAACTTCGAGCCCTCGGCCTTAAGAAGCCCCCAGGAGGCCTCAAGAGGCCCCTGAGAGGCCCCAAAAGCCCCCAAGAGGCCCTCAGGAGGCCCCCAAGCGACGCTGAAGAGGCCCCCCAGCGGCCCCAAGAGGCTCAGTCATGCGAAATGGGCCGGCGGAGTGAGCGAAGCAATTCAATATATATATATATATATATGTATATATATATATACATATATATGCGTGATGCGATCTATGTGTTGTGCGATCTGTATGGTAGGATCTATGTGTTGCAATTAATTTTTGTTCACAATGAGTTGTCCACTCCACTGCTCGCGCAAACATCCCACCCACCCACCCGCAACTTGGTTTGCAAAATCTCTTAAGACCGTGACGGTGGGTACCAAATGGCACATGGCAACGACAGCGACGCCGACGACGACAGCGACAACGACGACGACGACGCCGCCGACAACGACTACGACGACACCGACGACGTCTCCAACGACTTCGACGACGCCGACAACGACGACGACGACGACACCGACGACGACGACGACGCCGACGCCGACGACGACGACGACGCCGACGACGACGACGATGACAACGACGACGGCGATGACGACGCCGACGACGACGACAACGACGGCGCCGACGACGACGACGACGACGACGACGGCGGTGACGCCGACGACGCCGACGTCGACGACGACGAAGACGACGACGACGCCGGCGCCAACGACGACGACGAAGACGACGACGACGGCGCCAACGAAGACGACGACGAGGGAGGAGGGAGGACGACGGCGGCGACAACGACGACAACGACGACAACGACGACAACGACGACAACGACGAGGGAGGAGGGAGGACGGCGACGACGCGAACGACAAAGAAGGAGGAAGGACGGCGACGCCGACGACGACAACGACGAGGGAGGAGGGAAGACGACGACGACAACGACGACGACGACGACGGCGACGAAAGAGGAGGGGCGACGACGAGACGCCGACGACGGACGACGACGACGACGAGGGAGGAGGAAGGACGACCACGGCAACAACGACGACGGAAACGACCACGACGCCAAAGAGGACGACGACGACGAACATGGGGAAAGACAGAGGACGACGTAGGCGACGACGACGACGACGACGCGGGAGGAGGGAGGACGAAGAAGACGACGACGACGACGCGAGAGCGCGCGCGCACGCTTTTGTTGAAAATCCGTGTTGCGAAACCTTGTGTTTTTGTAGGTTGTTTGGACACACGGTGTTAAAATACTTCCGAAGCCGATGGGTTTGAAGGATTTCGGCATACGCGCGCGACGACGCGCTCGTCTGCACTTCGTCTTATTTTTTGCAGAGGATTCTCGCGACGGCACACGCGCAAGGGCGGATTTTTGTGAAATTTCTACGATTTCGCAAAAGATCGCGCGTAAGCTTTTTTAGCAAATCCGTGTTGCGAAACCCTGTGGTTTATGTTTTTTGGAAACTCGATTGCGAAATCCTTCCGACACCGAAGGTTTTTGGTGGATTTCGGCATGCGCGCACGACGACGCGCGCGTGTGCACTTCGCCCCATGCTTTTCAAGGGATTCGTGAACAAGTGTTACGTTAGAACCAAAGATGTTCCCGCGTATCGCTTTGTACAAGGGAACCTCCAGGGAACTGATACCGGCCCCCATGGGATAGTGTAAATTCATATTTAGGATGGACATGTGGTCATACTCATATATGATTTTCGTACCCGAAGGGGGGGCGGATAACGCCGGGGGGGGTAGAGTCTATTTTAGAAAGGAGAATCTGCGTGGTGCAATTATGCGAGGCCACGACGACGCGGCGACATGGCGGCGACGTCGCCAACATAGCCGCCAGGCCGACAACCAGGCCAAGACGACTGGCGGCGACGAGGCGGCGACGGCGACACATAGTCGCCAGACCGACAACCAGGCCCAGACGATGGGCGGCGACGAGGCGGCGACGAGGCGGCGACGGGCAGGCGACGGCGACAACATAGCCGCCAGTTCGACGACCCCCACCCCATCCCCAGGGCCCTTAGAAAGGCCATACGAACCCCTGAGTGCAGGCCCTGTTTGGAGAACGACTGCCCATGTTGGACGTGCATTGCATCGCAGAGCGGGGGGGAAGGGGCACGCTACCCTTTGACAGAAAACCTTGTCCCGAGTTGTTTTTTTTGTGTGGTGGTGGCCGCTGCGATCGCCGCGGCGACCTCTAAAACCGACCAGGAGATGTGGCTCGGGGTCGGACGTCACGCGACGAGCATCCGCTGGGAGGAGACGGTTCTGGACTTTGGTGCTCGCGGCAATCCTCCGGCCGCCCAGGCAGCCCAGAGTGATCACCACCACCACCGAGGTCGGGACCACCCTCCCTCGGAGACGGCGCACCGCCGACACTGGTGGTGGTGCCCAGCCTCTGAGCCTCCGATGAGAGGCTCTGCCCGTCCGCTGGGCTCTCCCAGCGAGGCCCACCGCTGAATGGCCCCTGGCTGCGCCTTGGGGGACGCCATCCTGGAGGCGCACGGAGAGGGGCTCTGCTCCTCGTTGGATGCTCGTTCTGGGGACCTTCCTGGAGCCACTCGCTCCACTCGTGCGTCGAAGCTGCGTCGAACGTCAGTCGAGTTGGGTCGACCCTGAGTCGAACCTGAGTCGAACCTGAGTCGAACTTGAGTCGAACTTGAGTCGAACTTGAGTCGAACTGGGGTCGAACAGATCCGTTAGGTGGGCTCCAGGAAGGTCCCCGAAACGAGCATCGAATCCTCGGGCTCGTCCCAGTACCGGAGGAAGTTCTCCACGGAGGGCTGGGTCAGGAGCGACCTCATCCCGGGCGTCGGCTGCGTCGTGGCCCGCGACTGGCAGCGCTTCGTGCTGAAGTGCACCCGGGAGTTCACCCTGGTGGGCGTCCCCTCTGTGCTAGTCTCGGCGCCGGCCTCGTCTGCGGAGCTGGCCAGGTTCATCTCCTCCACCAGGGCTTGACCTAAACGTAGACGAAGGCTTGCAATCCTCGGTTTTTGTTGCAATCCTTCGTTGCAATCTTTCGTTCGTGTTGTTTGCGTGCTGTTGTTCGCTTTGCTGTACCAGTTCTCCTGGTACCTCCCTGCCAAAACGAAAAACAACACTCAGCCGAAGTCCAGCAAAACAGCATTTAGGTCCAGCCCTGATATCCTCCACGTGGCCCGCGTGTATCCTGTCCGTGCTCGAGAGAAAGCTACTCAGAAGCTTCATCCGTTCGCCTGGCGCCTTCCACAGCATCGCCGGCTGGTAAGCTCTGCGGGCTTCCAGGCTCCTCTTCTTCCACCTGAAATATCCGCCACCGTGCCGCAGGCACCAAGTGCAATGTCCTCGGGCCCCCTCGGTTTATCTGCACTGAGTACTCGTAAGAGGCATCCGGGAGGACCCCAGCCCACAACCCAGGCGCGGTGGCGGGACGGACCGAAGGCCATCAGATCCGCCGCCCCCGTGCGTTCTGCACGCAGGGGCTGATGCTTGACTGCCTTGGCCCTTCCAGAAAGGCTTCCGTGGCCAAACTTGGGCCAACGTTTGACCACATAGGCGTTTCAAGAAAGTCAGGGTGTGGCCGTGGTCTTAAGCATCGTTTGACAGATTCCAGTGCCCACTGTCGTGGCCTCGGCCCCACCAACCGACTTACCCACCCAGGTGTGATCATGTGCTGTTCCCTTCAGGTCTCGCGGGGCCCATCCCCGCCCAGGAGGGTGGGCTTGTGGGGCCGGGATACAGCATGGCCAAGCTTGGGGATGGGACCGGTCCAGCGACGCTGACGGCTCGCCGCAGGCGTCCTCGACAGCAGGAACAGCAGCTCCAGCGTGGCCCACGACTCCAGCAGGGTCTTCCCCAGTATCAGCCACAGCGGCTTCCTCTCCCGGCCCAGCAGCCGCGAGAGCCGCACGGCGCGCCGCGCCAGCAGCAGCAGGGACAGCACCGGGATCGCCTTCATCCAGATCACATTGCCTGAAGGTGCCCCAGGACACACAAATAAATACACACAAATAAAATGATTCCCCACATTTTCCCATATTCTCTGGGTTTGTGTCTTCCCCCCACTTCCCATATTTTCCCATCTTTTCTGGGGAATCGAGGATTAATTGTGTCTGTGTGTTTTTTTCCCTCCTGATTGCCCCGGATCCACAGCGACCCGGTCCGGGAGTAGAGGGACCACCGCACGAAGCCCCGCTGCAGCTGCGACAGCGCGGGCCCGAGGGCTGCGTGGCCGTCGCCCGGCGCCTCCGCGGCCATGGGGCCCCAGGAGCGGCCCAGGGGCTGCTCGAATCCAGCTGGCGCGCGCGCGGCGGCTCCCCGCTGCCCTCCCTGCCCCCCTCCCTGCGTGCTTCCTCTGGCCATCGCTCGGACGTCCATTCCCTGTGCTTTTTTCGGTTTCGTGCGTGGCTTTGTCTCCAAATGATCAAGGATGCTCCTCGACGGTCCTCGCCGAAGGAAACATGCACACGTCCGAGCGATGCCAAGTCCTAACAGCTCGGGAGCCGTCCCCCCGCTCCGTCGTGCTTCCCGCCCCCTCCATCGCGCGTCAGCCCTCAGGGCGAATCGCGCGCGTCCTCGCCCCTGCTCCCGCCGTCCGAGCGCACCCTCGGCAGAGCCCCGACGTCATGATTCTTTCATGACGCGACCCCCAGAGGTCCGGACCCATTCCCCGGGACCGGTTTTTCGTCCTGAGTCGTTTTTTGACGCTCCCGAGGCCCGGGGAGGGCCCCCAGAGGCCGAAAGTTAGAAAAATCCTCCCGTCGTGATTTTTCCATTACTCGAGGGGGTCTGGGTCGGCAGAGCCTCGGCGAAAAGGCCACGCCCGCGCCCGGCCCCCCCGTGGGAGCACCTCGCCTCCCTGCCCATGGGCGGCCCTTGGCCTCCCGCCCTCTCGGCCCTCCCTTCTGCCTGCAGGCGGCGCCGCTCCTGGGCCCCTCCGGGGGCGACCCGCTGGAGCGCGCCCCGCTCCGAGCTGCCGGAGGCCCGGCGTCCTCTTCCTGCAAGGAGGAACGACTGGTCTGCTCTGCAAGAGCGGTTTTTGGAAGGCAGATCTGCCCTCTGTGTAAGAACGGTTTTTTGAAGGCAGATCTGCCTTCAAAAACCTGGTCTACTCTGTAAGAACGGTTTTTTGAAGGCAGATCTGCCTTCAAAAAACCGTTCTTACAGAGTAGACCAGTCGCTCCTCTATCCCAACATCCCGCAATCGCACGGCGGCAGGGCGAATCTTCCCACGAGCCCGTCCATGCGAGCGGAGGGCAGGAGGACTGAAGGGGAACGTCCGGGGTGACCCGCCCACCGGGGGCGGGGGGCGGTGACGTCGCGCCGGCGAAACATCTTGCTCATCGGCGCGCATCGACTCAAATCGACGCTGAATCGGCGCTATTTCATCGATTACCAAAGGCTCATCGACAGGAGTGCAGTCGAAAGACGCAATTACGAGGGCACAGAAGGCTCCCATGATTTGCTGCCGCACAGGAGCCCACTGCAGACACGTCCCCCTCGTCCGCCCCTCCACGCGCAGGTCTGCCCCGTGCGGCCTCCCCCTTGCCCCATTTCGGAGGAGGGCGCTCGGAGGCACCAGGGGGCTCAACATCGGCCCCCTGACGGCTGCGAATTCACCGTGGCGTGCGCCTGGGGTGCCCTGGGAGGGCCCTGGGAGGGCCCTGGGAGGGCCCTGGGAGGGCCCTGGGAGCTCCCAGGCGCGGAGCGTCCCTGGCGCGCCCAGGGGCGCCCTGGGCCCTGGGCGGCTGCTAATTCACCGTGGCGTGCGCCCCTCTCGGGGCCCAAAGGCACCTGCTTTCCGCGCCGCGTCCCGCCGTGGCGACGAGGGGCCCGCCCGAAGGCCACCTGCCCGTGCCTCAAACGGCCCTCCCCCTCCTTGGGGAAACCCAGAATGTACTCCAGATTTCGTAAGAAAGGGAGGGGGGTCTCATTTCGGGGGGGGGGGGGGTCTCTTCCAGGCTATCTTGGAGGGCCTGGGGGGTCTGGGGACGATGTTTTGGAGGGTTCTCCCACGGGGGAGGTCTGAAATGGCTTGTCTTGGAGGGTCCAGACCCCCTCCCTTTTATTACGAGATCTGGAGTGCCGATGCCGCTGCTCCACGGCCCTCTCCGGGGGCGTGCTCTGGCCAGGGTTCCGAGGCGAATCCAGCGGTGTCGACCAGGGCCTCCTGCAGCATGGGAGGCCCAGAAAGGCGAAAACGAGGAAGGGGTAGCGGTGTGGGTGCACGGTTTCCCCACGGGCCGTAGGCGACCGGAGGAGGAGGAGGGGGAGGAGGAGGAGGAGGAGGAGGAGGAGGAGGAGGAGGAGGAGGAGGAGGAGGAGGAAGAGGAGGAGGAGGAGGCGGAGGAGACGGGACGCCCAAGCCCTTCGGAGGACCCCTCCAGGGAGGGGCCGGGGCATGGGTGCCTGTTTTTTCCTCCTCGGCCAGGCGGCCCTCCCCTGACCCGGTCACTCGGGGGCGCGCAAACATGGATTAGCGATCCATGGACTTGGTGCGCGGTTGCCAAATCCATGGATCGGGGCAGGTGCCCTCCCCAAAGCGCGGCCGGCAACGCCTCGCTCGGCGGCGGACATCCGCGACTTCCCGTGGGAACGGGACCCGCCGGTAATCCACGCCCCCTTGATCCACGTTTGCGATCGCCTGAGTCACTCACCTGAAAAACTGCCGCAGAAGCGGCGATCTGATCCTTCTGGACGCCAGGCGCGCGCCCAATTTGCAATGTGAAAACCGAAAAACCAAAAGAGTCAGAAGCAAATCTGCTCTGCCCCAGCGGCGAGGTTAGAGTCACCCCTCCCCTCCTGCAGGCACCCGCCCTGCTCCCCCCCCCGCCGCCCCGCGCAGGCAGCGCGCGGCCCACGAGCGGCGGAGGAGAGCTGAGCGCGCTGCCTGCGCGTGCCTGGCGGCAGCGCCGCGCGGGCGCAGCGCCCCCGGGGAGGCCGCGCCGCGGGAGTGGAGAGGCTGACTACCTACCAGACCACCCCAACCCAACACGAAGACCCGAATTTCGGGTTGGGGGGGGTACGGGTTCCATATGTGTTTTCTCGATGTTCCCCGACCCCCCCCAACTGGAAATGGAGGGCAAATCGAAACCTTCGGGTTGGGTTGGGGTGGTTTGGTGAGTGGTGAGAGGCGCCCCCAGCCTAAGGTGATCGTTTTTGTTGTTCATCATCTTGCCGATCGGCGCGGGCCCTCGCCCCCCCCTCTCCCCCCCCCTGTGGAGTAGATCTTGGCTGTCTGGGGCGCCCAATTCGAGCAGGTGGAGTCTCCACCGTAGGACGCAGGGTTGCAAGCAGTGGCATTGAGCAGCGTTCCGGAGCCAGACCCCCCCCCACACCCCTCCCCTTCCGCCCAATGTCGAAACGCCGAATAAGAAAATGCTCACAAAACGAAGCCAGGGCGAGAGCGAGTTCGGATGATGATGCAGTCAACTCGTAGAACAAGGACGTACGGTAAGGACGCAAGGGCCCAGGAAGGCCACGTCGACACTGTGCGAGCGGGGCACGGCCAGCGAAAGCGGCCAAGGATGGGCCGAAAGAGAAGGGTGCAAAAGGAACCTCGAAAAGTTGCTCAACCTTACAAGGCGGGTTGACTGTAAATCAAGAGTCTGTGAGTTCCAGCGGCTCTGGAGGATGTATCGGGCGTTGCGGCCTTCTCAGCCCCGTCCGACCCTCCCTCCCGCCCTGGGATCCTGGCGACTCAAGCTTGTGTTCGCCCAATGTCGGGCCCCAGATCAGGCTCGAAGGACGGCGCGGAAAAATGGGGTCCGGGGCTCCAGACGTGAGTTTCCGCGATGCTGCAATCTTATCGCACCATTGCATCTCAGGGCTCCCCTCGCGTTCTCCCCTCCGTCCCCTCCCCCCTCGCTGCCCCCCTTGCGGCCCCCCTCCCGCCCCCTCCGCCCCCTCCGTCACCTCCGTCCCATCGCTGCCCTCCTCCCTCCCCTCCATCCCCCCCTTCCTTCATCTGACTACCTACCAAACCACCCCAACCTAACCCGAAGACCCGAATTTGACCCGAATTTCGGGTTGGGGGGGGTACGGGTTCCATGTGTTTTTTCGACGTTCCCCGACCCCCCCCCCCCCCACTGGAAATGGAGGGCAAATTGAGGCCTTCGGGTTGGGTTGGGGTGGTCTGGTAGGTGGTGATCATCTCTGTCCGCGCCCCTCCCCTGGGCTCGTGCCGGGCCGGGGGCCCAAAACCAGGGCGCGCAGGCCGCTGCCGCCGCAAGGCACTCCGAGACCGGAGGCCCCGGTGGCCCCCGGCACCAGGAGCCGCTCTGGCCAGGAGCCACTCGCCACTCTTGCGAGCAGCCGCACATCGGCTGCAGTCATGACGCATCGTAAGGATGCGCGGTGAGGATGCAAGGGCCTTGGACTCCATGGCCCTCCAAGGCTTGGAGGGCCGTGTTGGCGGTTTCGAGCGGGGCTGGCCAGCGAAAGTCGCCAAGGCTGGGCCGAAGGGACCAGGATGCAGGAGGGTAGCCTTGGAGACCTGGAGGCCCGCTCGTCCTATGCGACTCGACTGCAAGCCGTGGCTCCACACGGGGCCTCCAGGGGGCCAGGTGGCACCCGCGCTCCCTCTCTCGACACCTACACTTCCCTTACTTCGTGTTATCGTTCTTCATGCTATTCGATTTCTTCCTCCTCCTCAAGTTTTTCCAGGTTCTAACCTACGATCGGTTGTTCCTGCAGTACACCTAGACGACGAGGGGGGGGGGGGTCAAGCACGCTGCGGCTCCTGCGGAGGTCCCCGCCAAGCGGCGGCGGCATCGGGCGTCCCGACGCGGCGCGGGAGCGGAGCGGGGCGGTGATGGATCTGTTTTCCACCACCACCACCACCACCACCACCACCACCACCACCACCACCACCACCATGAGTTGGAGGGGGAGGGGGTCCTCCTCCTCCTCCTCCTCCTCCCTCCTCCTCCTCCTCCTCCTGCCCTCCTCCTCCTCCTCCTCCTCCTCCTCCTCCTCCTCCTCCTCCTCCTCCTCCTCCTCCTCCTCCTCCTCCTTCCCCCCTCCAACTCATGGTGGAGGTGGTGGAAAACAAGCCCCTCCGGGCGGGGATGGGGCAGAGGCAGCGCCGGGAGAGGCAGGACGCGGGGCGGTCGTTTCTGGCCTCCGCTTGGCGGGCGGCGCGGGCCGGGCACTGGCTCTCGCCGAGGCGGTGGCGGGTGCTGGCGGGGCGGAAGGCAGGAAGCGAAGGAGGAGGAGGAGGAGGAGGAGGAGGAGGAGGAGGAGGA